AAAGAGGCCCCTTCTGGACGTGTCCTTGCCTTGGGTTCGGCGGGGGATCCCTTGTCACTTAGTCATCCTATCCTCAGCCATGTGTGTCCTGCTTTGCACTTGTTCTCTGCAGGAGGGGTCCCTTAGCACATACTTTTGCACTGGATTTATGACCCAGATATTTTTTTCTGGGTGAACCCAAACCCTCAGACCAACTACGACCTCTCCATTTGAAAATAGGTGAATTTTACTGATGCACAGTGATAGCAGATACAAATAAATTGGATCTGCCAGTCCCAGGGTTGTTATCAGAGTCCAGATACATCTGGCCAGTATGCGAGCTTCACGCTGAGGTTCTCTCTCAAATGTCAGATGTCAGCAGCCTGGAGGGCCCATCCCCGTGTGGGATGGGTGAGACGGGCTGGTGGTATGCCCTCTGTTCATAGCGGCCTCAGGTTCTCCTCTCGGGGATGCTTTGCTGCTCTGTAATCCCTCTTTTGCATTCTTTCCCCACTCTGTGATGACTCCTAATCTTTGGGCATGACTGATTGGTGTCTCTGTGGTCATCACACTGCCCATATTCTGTCCTGTCAAAGTATTTCTTCGTTTCACAAACCCAGCACATACACATGTCCTCATTTGGGCTTTTTCTGGGCCTCCTAGTTTGGTTTGTTCCCCGAAACTGGAAATCCCAAGGGCTCTGCAATTGGGCACTGTGATCTAATGCCACCTTATCTCAAGTTATGGAACAGAATGGTACATGTCTTTAATTTCCCAGCCTGTGTGTCTGCTTGCTATTTGCCTGTGTCAGACATAGTGGGCCTTGAGGAAACCGTCACAAATAGGCTTTTAAAAAAATCAGCTAACCCTTGCCTTTGCCCTGGACCATTGCTCTGATCTAATGCATATCTAGTTTACCTACAAGCCAATTCCCAAAAGCAAACTTCTAAATAGCATTTTCTAGTCATCAGCTGTGATTGACCCTTACCTTGTGGATGTCACATGTTCCCTCCAGGCTGGGGACACTGTACCCTGTCCCATATAGCAACCCCTGGCCTGGGACATCTGTTCATTTCATATGGGCCAGTGATAGTCAACCAGGCAGCTGTGGGTTGCTTCGCAGGGTGCAGTGGGATGCCAAGCAGTGTCAGCACTGTGAGGTGGGCAAGCCGGATTCCCATGATAGACCCAGAGATTCCCAATAAGAAGCTGCAGTGCTAACAGCAGTGAGGTTTTTCTGAGTTCTTTGCAGCAGGCGAATCGCTGCTTTCTTTTTCTGTCGTCAAAAAACGAGTGAAAAGCAAGAGCCGGCGTGGTCCGAGGGGTTCCTTGAGTCCATGGAGGGGTGCATCGAGTGTGTAACAGGAGCTGTCTCTTCTGTCCTCCAAGTAGTGGAGGGATGTCTGGAGGAGGGTCCTCTGCGGGACCCCACATGAGATGCCCTGAATGCATGGAGAGCTGCTCTGTGAGAGCTATTGCCCAGCCAGCGGTGATGGAGATTGTCTCCAGACCACAGCCTGCTTCTGAGCGTGTCCCGTGGGACAGTGTCAGAAGCTTTAGCCTGTGCTGTGTTCCATTCAAAGGTGAATCAAAGCTGACTTATGTTTAAAAAAGATTACTTCATTTTAATTTAAATACAAGAATCTGATTTAAATTTTTTTAAAAATTTAAATCCATTTTTTTAAATCCATTTTTTTAAATCATCCTTTTTTCTCCACCGTTATAATTCATCATCTCATGCCCTCGCTCGGGGTCTATCATGGCGCTAAGCTCAGCGGCTTTTCCTTTTCACCTGGCCGTGTCGGCTACCGCAGCTCTTGGAGCAGGAGGTGCTCATGAGAGCTCCAGGCTGGTCAGGAGGAAGCTCCTGTCGGTAGATAGATATCAAACCCCAAAACGTGGGATGTTTCTGTGGCTCTGAAGCTGCTTGGGCAGTCTCGGAGGGCACAGGGCACACCCACCCTGACTGCATGTACTAGGGAGCCCTGTTACAGGTGGGTACAGGTGCCCACTGTAAACCTCTGCTTGCACTGGAGGGGGGATCCAGGCTCCATCGCGGTGCTGCCTGATGTCCCCCCATGGATCCACAGCGACACTGGCACAGCTGCCCTGCTCCTGGCCTCTGTTTTGCACCAGTTTTGCTGGTCCAAGCTGTGAGCACCTCAAAGCATCACTGTATCAGCAGAGTGGGGCTTCATGTGTGCCTGGCTTGGCCCAGTCAGGAGCACAGTTGAGTCCTGCACCTCCCTGCCGAGGATCCTCCACTTCGACCTGGGGAAGTGCTCAAAGCCAGGAGATGCCAGAGCTGCTGTGGCCCTCGGACCCTTAGCTCTGCCCCTGTTGGGGGTCACAGAGGCAAGACCCGGCTCTTCAGTGCAGATGGGTTGTTCTATGGAGCAAGGGCTGCCCGGGGGAAGGGTCTAGCCCTCGCCTTGTCCCGGAACAGGAAGGATGGGAAGGGGAGAGAGGAGGCAGATGGGCAGGGAGTGGTGGGAGCAGAGCTGTGCCAGGGGTATGTTTCAGAGGGCAGAAGGAAAAGGAGGGGAGATGAGTGTGTGTGCTCATGCGCCTGTGTGCATGCGTGTGCATGCATGATATCCTCTGCCCTTTGCAGGTGGGAATGGATTCATGGAGCACCCTGGCAAGCTGACCAGTATTCTCGCCATTGCATGGATGGGGAAACTGAGGCACGGCTCATTTTAGAGCACACAGAGTCAGGGCAAAACCCTGCACCTGAGTCCCAGTGCTAGATTGCACCATGATCCTGGGACACCACATGGCCTGGGGTATTCCCTGCCCCTCTGCTACCCTGGCACCTCAGTCTGTGCCCATCAGTTGCATGCAGCCCGCGTGGAGCGGTGCTGGGCCCCGGGCAGCACTGAGTCCTGTTTCCCCTCTTGCTTGTCCCTGCAGGATGCATATGGCTCCTCGGACGTCTTGCTGCTGGAGCTCTCCTGTTGCATCACAGTGCTCATGAGCGAGGCCATCGACCTGATCAATGAGAATTGGAGGCTGCGGCAGAAGCTGGAGGAGCACACCAGCCACCCCCACAGCCCCCACAGCCCCCAGCCCCCAGCTCAGAGGTAGGCAGGAGGGCAAAACTGAGATTTCCCATGCATGACCTGGCAGCCCCGTCGGAGGAGGTATGGCGTGCGGTGCCTGTTACACCTGTGTGCAGCAGGCCAGGGCCGTGTTGCCAGAAATAGTGGGGAGAGCACACCTTTCCTCTGCTGTTGCAGAGAGCAGTTCAGGGACCGATGGCTTGAAGCTGGAGCTCAGGAAACATGTCTGCACTGGCAGAGCAGGGAGGCAGCGGGTAGACGCCAGGGAAGGGGCAGGAGGAGGATTCTCCAGCACTGGACATGTTCAACAAGAGGCTGGACGTCCACTAGTCAGGGGTGATCTAGGCCAGGGCTCAGCAGCCCCTGGCATGCGTGCCAGAGCATGGCATGAGGCCATTTTGCTCAGCATGCCACAGCTGGCCCAGGCGTTGGGCACCTGCCACGAGCCACGAAGCCCGAGCTGCTCACAGGGGGTTGCCGGGAGGCTGTAAACAGGTGCATTGGGGTCCAGAGACCTGGCCGAGCACCATGGTGGCAGCCGCTGCACGTGCACCTCAGGGTGCACAGTGGAGAAGGGTCCTGGGCTGGTGCAGACCTTGCCCCTTCCTCACTATGTGTCCAAGGCAAGCGTGCAGCTGCTGCCACCACGCAGCCTGGGCTGCTCACAGCAGGCTGCAAACAGATGCACCAGGGTCCAGAGCCCTGGCCGAGCTGCCCCACCATGCTAGGTACTAGTCTAGGTATTTGTAGTAGGGTGGCTTCAAGCAGCCTGGCCTCCTTTGCCAGCCCAGGCCAGCTGTGGCAGGCAGCTGCTTCCAGGCTCCCCGTTGCCTACTGAGCAGCCCGGGCTCTGTGGCCAGAGGCAGGGGCTGTGCTTGGGGATGGTCTGAAACCTTGGGCTCAATCAGGCTAATGCGGAGCCCATTAATTGATGTGTTACTATCTAAGCCCCGGTTTGGGGCTGTCTGACAATCTGTGGGGACTGGGGAGGGCTGGGACTGCTGCCCCGCTGGATAATCAGATTCACGGGGGGCACCCCTCGTGCTCAGACTGTGAAAATGGTGCCTGGCTCCATGTTCTGCCCATAAAATTGGCAGGCAGCCGCCTTGAGTTCAGTAGGTCCCTACTAATGACGGGTGATGGAGGGTGTGAGGACAGGGGGAGCGGTCCTACTGAACGGCGCTGACTGTAGTTTGGACTGCAACGCTTGGAAACCCAGGGGACTGGGAACAGGAAGAGGGAATGATCAAGCAGAAGAGGGATGCTGGGGTGGGGAGAACAAGGAGCGGGGGCAATGCTGCTGCAATTTAAGTCTTTCCCCCCCTTAGTTCAATAATGGGTCACAAAAGAAAACGTTTCGAGGATAACCGCAGGGAATCCTCTGACCTGAAAAAAAAAAGGGTTAAAAAGACCAGCAAGGGAAAGAAGATCTTGAGATCCCCCTCTGCAAGGCCCAGACAATATGAGGAAGAACCAAAGGATTTGGACTCTCTCTCTGAGGTGCGTGGTTTTTACTTTGAGGCAATTTCAATGAACGCAGCCCGGGGTTCAAATGACCCGTTCCAGGAGCTGTAACAAAAGACCCGAGATTTCTTTGTAAATTTATCTTTAATAAAGGTGCACTGATACATAGATACATGTTGTATCGGCACCGATAAATATGGTAAATAGATGCCCCAAATAAGATCCTTATTGGGTGCAATATGCCTGGCATGTAGGTATGGAGGGTGGGTGGCAGGTTTGTTGGTGACTGCTCTCTGAGCCCCGTGCGCCAGCCAAGTTTCTATCCACCTTACAGCCCATTCATCCAGCCCATACTTGCTTAGCTTGCCTGTGAGAGTGCTGTGGGAGACCATATCAAAAGTCTTGCTAAAGTCAATGAAATAGCAAAAAAAAAAAGACTTTTTTTCTGCAAGCTTTCAGGCACACGCCCTTCCTCAGGCTCTGGGAAAATTAAAGATGGTAAAAAGTCCCGATAGGTAGAAAATAAATGTGATTTTTGCACAGAGGAAGCTGAAGGTGGTCATCTGTTCCTCTGGGGCCATGAGAGGGTCTTTGTGAGTTGCTCTTTGATGGGCAGAGGAGGCAGGACTCCTTCCCTGGGGTGTCAGACAGCAGAAAGGCAGGGAGGTGTAGAAATCTTTCTTGTTCAGCATTTAGCATCTTTAATTGTCCCTGAGACTGAGTGCCTGAAATCTTGCTGAAAAAAGATCATTTTTTGGTGATTTCTTAGTTGGTCTAATAACACGTATCATCTCTGAATCCAAGAGTCCTAGAGTTTTGCATTTATTTGCATCTGAGACCAACACAGCTACCAAATACATCCCTGGCTCAAATCAAGGTGCTCCACATCCACCGGTCTGCCCGCACCCACAGAGCCAGTCACTTCGTCATGAAGGCAGTCAGGTTGGTCAGGCAAGACTTGCCCTTGGTGAACCCATGCAGACTGTTCCTCATCACCCTTTTCTCTACCAGAAATCGGTAGCAGACGACGGGGAGGTCGCAGCCAAATCCACCGGGCGAAGGCACCCTCGGCACAGGAACTGTCAAGACCCATCCAGTGGGGAAAGGGACAGCGACAGCACAGAGGACACTGAGACATCCAGATCGGATACGGTGGAAGACTCCTCTGAAGGATGTGAAGACAGCGTGGAAGTACCAGAGGATTTGAAGTTACTCTTTTGGGTACGTGCTTTTTGCTTTGAGGCAATTCCAAAGAACGTGCCCTGGGGTTCGAATGATGCGTTCCAGGAACGGTAACAGAAGACCTGAGATTTCCCCTTTAAATTTATCTTTAATAGAGGTGCACTGATACATCGGTCCACGTCATATCGGCACCGATAAAAGGAAAATTGACATTCTTGGCAATCAGCTTTTTTTGGCTGCGCTCAAGGAGGGGCAGTTGGTGGTGGCGCTGGGAGGAGGAGGCTACAGCGAATTTTGGGGTGGCTATAGCCCCCCTCCACAACTTCCCTCCCTGCGTCACTGCTGCCCATCGCACACAAAAATCCTCCCCATGCCTCCCTTGGGGTGTGCGCACTGCTGAGGAGCCGCCTCCCCCTCCGCCCCATGCCCAGCCCAGCTTGGCAGTGCCTGCCCCTGCCTCACTCCTTCCCTCACTTCTGTGGCCTTGATCTGCGTCTCCATGCCCCTTTCCCCGCCACAGACTTACCGTCCGGACGCTGCTCTCCGAGCTGCCGGGTTGCATATTGGGAATCGGATCGGTTTCAGCTGACATGGCTGATCGATAGTCGACCATCGGTATTGGCCCAAACAATCTTTATTGGTGAATGCCTAATCTTTAAATGTCTCACTTTGTTCACAGACATGCTGCAAAACAAACTGTAGGATTGAAAGCGGGACCATATTTCTCCTATGAGACTATCTTTATATTGCCCCGGGCTAGATTGCTCATATGAGACCATCTCTGCATTTAATACCAGTCTTTGCTGGGGGCGGGTTCTGCCTCTTCCTAACTGTCCCTTCTCCCCAGAGCAGGAGCTGTGCCATGCACGGAGTGATCACTTCTCTACCACTTACTGCTCTGCAAGGGGGATGGTGATAAAGATGGAGGAGGAAATCCACTTTCTGGTGGACTTGCTGCGGGTGAGACTAATGGACTACTTCTGCTCCTTCGGGTCCACGATGGTGGGGTCAACCCTGCACGGCCCCTCAGCCTGCCTGCGGGGCTCTCCGAGGGAGGCACGACCCCCGGGAGGGCTGCAGTGGTGCCCCACAGCCCGTCATCAGAAGCCAAGTTCCCAGGCAGGGCCCGGCTAGTAGAGGGGCCCAGGTGGGAAGGGATATGCCATACTGGAAAGAGGCCCCTTCAGGTCACGTCCTTGCCTTGAGTTCAGCTGGGGATCCCCTGTCCCCAGCGGTGCTGCTGCAGGCAGGTGTCCCCAGCCCTGCCCTTGCCCTCTGCAGGAGGGGTCCCTCGGTGCTTCTTTCGATGGACCCCCGCCTCACCTTGTGGATGTTACAGGGTTTCTCCAGGCTGGGGATGCCAACCCTGGCCATACAGCAACCCCTGGGGTGCCAGGCAGCGTTAGCACCGTGCGGTGGGCAATCCAGATTCATGTGACAGACCCAGAGATTCCCTGGAGGAGTCTGCAGCGTTAGCAGCAGTGAGGTTTCCTGAGCTCTTTGCAGCATGAGAAACATTGATCGAAAAGCCCGTCCTCCCCAGCCGAGGCATCCCCGCTTCATCCCGGGGAAGCACTCAGAAGCCAGGAGATGCCAGAGCTGCTGTGGCCCTCGGACCTTAGCTCTGCTCCATGGCGGGTTGTAGCGGCAGGACCCAGCTCCTCAGTGCAGAGGGGTTGTTCTCCGGAGCAGGGGCTGCCCCAGGGAAGGGTCCAGCCCTTGTCTCATCCCAGCACAGGAAGGATGGGAAGAGGAGAGAGAGGAGGCAGATGTGCAAGGAGGGGTGGAAGCAGAGCTGTGCCAAGGGTTTGGTTCAGAGGGCAGGAGGAAAAGGAGGGGAGATGAGTGTGCATGTGCCTTTTGCAGCTGGGAATGGATTTATGGGGCAGCCTGGCAAGCTGACCAGTGTTTTCACCATTGCACGGATGGGGAAACTGAGGCAGGGCTGTCTTTGGGGCACACAGAGTCAGGGCAGAACTGATCACCTCGGAGTCACGGTGCTCAGCCCAGGATGATGCACCATGTTCCCAGGACATCACGTGGCCTGAGCTGTTCCCTTTCTCCTCCCACAGCCCCTCGGCGGGCACGTGCCCATCAGTTGCATGCAGCCCAAGTGGGGTGGTGCTCGGCCCCGGGTGGCACTGAGTCCTGTCTTACCTCTTGCACATCCCTGCAGATCGTGAAACTCTTCCCAAGCCCCTGCATCCTGCAGCTCATCTGCGCCCTCAAAGACGGCCTGACAGTAGTCGTGCGCTGGGCCCTCCAGAATTACAGGCTGCACCAGAAGCAGAAGGAACAAGCCGGCCCCGAGAGATGTAACTATCGTTTAGAAATATATTTGCATAACCTCCTCTGATTGCATCGGTCAAATGGTCAGGCGTGTACGCACTGGGTGGTTGTTTTTTCCTCTATAGCAGGGGCAGGGCCATTGCCTGGGATCTCATAAGTGACTACTGACAACCTTTGCAGCAGCAGGTTGGCTGCGTGGCCCCCCTGCTTTCCCCGGGGCAGGGGCAGCTATGATGTAAGGTGTTGTCAGGTGTGATTGTGTCGTCTTGTTAAGAGGTTGGACGGTGGGTTTGTCTGGGGTGGTTTGGACAGGGCTGATCCTGCCTCAGGCAGGGGTTGGACTAGATGGCTGCCTGTTGATGTGCAGGGACATTGCTCCAACACCCTGTACTTACAGACCCCCTCCCACCCCCAGAGCACATGTAAAGATAACTGATGTAACCTCTGCAGCTCCTGTGCAGTCCCTCTGCTCTGAGACGATGAGCTCCCTCGCTCGGCCCCCATACCCAGCCACGTGCTGCTGCCCCGCTCCCCCACCTCCCTCACTCCCTGCCCCCAAACATAACCTGTTTCTGCTCCCCCCATAGCTGAGGCAGCTCGTGCTCATCATGCTGCACCACCCCCCACAACAAGTCCAGCCAGCTCGACACCGGCAGCAAGCGGGAGGCTCAGCATATCGACCTCCTGGTCACCATGGACTGCTGCTTCTCCGACCCCTCCGGTCTCTACCCCTGCCTGGCCAACACTGCCACCGTGGACTGCTGCTTCTCCACAATCCGTGGCCTCTACCCCTGCCGGGCCACCACTGCTACCGTCGACTGCTGTTTATTCACAATCTGTGGCCTCTACCCCTGCCGGGCCACCACTGCTACCGTCGACTGCTGTTTATTCACAATCTGTGGCCTCTACCCCTGCCGGGCCACCACTGCTACCGTCGACTGCTGTTTATTCACAATCTGTGGCCTCTACCCCTGCCGGGCCACCACTGCTACCGTCGACTGCTGTTTATTCACAATCTGTGGCCTCTACCCCTGCCGGGCCACCACTGCTACCGTCGACTGCTGTTTATTCACAATCTGTGGCCTCTACCCCTGCCGGGCCACCACTGCTACCGTCGACTGCTGTTTATTCACAATCTGTGGCCTCTACCCCTGCCGGGCCACCACTGCTACCGTCGACTGCTGTTTATTCACAATCTGTGGCCTCTACCCCTGCCGGGCCACCACTGCTACCGTCGACTGCTGTTTATTCACAATCTGTGGCCTCTACCCCTGCCGGGCCACCACTGCTACCGTCGACTGCTGTTTATTCACAATCTGTGGCCTCTACCCCTGCCGGGCCACCACTGCTACCGTCGACTGCTGTTTATTCACAATCTGTGGCCTCTACCCCTGCCGGGCCACCACTGCTACCGTCGACTGCTGTTTATTCACAATCTGTGGCCTCTACCCCTGCCGGGCCACCACTGCTACCGTCGACTGCTGTTTATTCACAATCTGTGGCCTCTACCCCTGCCGGGCCACCACTGCTACCGTCGACTGCTGTTTATTCACAATCTGTGGCCTCTACCCCTGCCGGGCCACCACTGCTACCGTCGACTGCTGTTTATCCACCATCCATGGCCTCTACCCCTGCCAGACCATCACTGCCACCGTCAGCTGCTGCTTATCCACAAGGGCCACCACTGCTACCGTCGACTGCTGTTTATCCACAATCCATGGCCTCTACCCCTGCCGGGCCACCACTGCTACCGTCAACTGCTGTTTATCCACAATCTGTAGTCTGTACCCCTGCTGGGCCACCACTGGCACTGTCAACTGCTGCTTATCCACAATCCGTGGCCTCTACCCCTGTCAGGCCAACACTGCCACCGTCGACTGCTATTTATCCACTATCTCTGGCCTCTACCCCTGCCAGAGCAACACTACCACCGTCAGCTGCTGCTTATCCACAGTCTGTGGCCTCTACCCCTGCCAGACCACCACTGCTACTGTCGACTGCTGTTTATCCACCATCCATGGCCTCTACCCCAGCCAGACCATCACTGCCACCGTCAGCTGCTGCTTATCCACAATCCGTGGCCTCTCCCCCTGCCGGGCCACCACTGCTCCCGTCGACTGCTCCTTATCCGCAATCCGTGGCCTCTCCCCCTGCTGGGCCCCCACTGCTACCGTCGACTGCTTTTTATCCACTATCTCTGGCCTCTCCCCCTGCCAGACCACCACTGCTACTGTCGACTGCTGTTTATCCCCCATCCATGGCCTCTCCCCCTGCCGGGCCACCACTGCTCCCGTCGACTGCTCCTTATCCGCAATCCGTGGCCTCTCCCCCTGCTGGGCCCCCACTGCTACCGTCGACTGCTTTTTATCCACTATCTCTGGCCTCTCCCCCTGCCAGACCACCACTGCTACTGTCGACTGCTGTTTATCCCCCATCCATGGCCTCTCCCCCTGCCGGGCCACCACTGCTCCCGTCGACTGCTCCTTATCCGCAATCCGTGGCCTCTCCCCCTGCTGGGCCCCCACTGCTACCGTCGACTGCTTTTTATCCACTATCTCTGGCCTCTCCCCCTGCCAGACCACCACTGCTACTGTCGACTGCTGTTTATCCCCCATCCATGGCCTCTCCCCCTGCCGGGCCACCACTGCTCCCGTCGACTGCTCCTTATCCGCAATCCGTGGCCTCTCCCCCTGCTGGGCCCCCACTGCTACCGTCGACTGCTTTTTATCCACTATCTCTGGCCTCTCCCCCTGCCAGACCACCACTGCTACTGTCGACTGCTGTTTATCCCCCATCCATGGCCTCTCCCCCTGCCGGGCCACCACTGCTCCCGTCGACTGCTCCTTATCCGCAATCCGTGGCCTCTCCCCCTGCTGGGCCCCCACTGCTACCGTCGACTGCTTTTTATCCACTATCTCTGGCCTCTCCCCCTGCCAGACCACCACTGCTACTGTCGACTGCTGTTTATCCCCCATCCATGGCCTCTCCCCCTGCCGGGCCACCACTGCTCCCGTCGACTGCTCCTTATCCGCAATCCGTGGCCTCTCCCCCTGCTGGGCCCCCACTGCTACCGTCGACTGCTTTTTATCCACTATCTCTGGCCTCTCCCCCTGCCAGACCACCACTGCTACTGTCGACTGCTGTTTATCCCCCATCCATGGCCTCTCCCCCTGCCGGGCCACCACTGCTCCCGTCGACTGCTCCTTATCCGCAATCCGTGGCCTCTCCCCCTGCTGGGCCCCCACTGCTACCGTCGACTGCTTTTTATCCACTATCTCTGGCCTCTCCCCCTGCCAGACCACCACTGCTACTGTCGACTGCTGTTTATCCCCCATCCATGGCCTCTCCCCCTGCCGGGCCACCACTGCTCCCGTCGACTGCTCCTTATCCGCAATCCGTGGCCTCTCCCCCTGCTGGGCCCCCACTGCTACCGTCGACTGCTTTTTATCCACTATCTCTGGCCTCTCCCCCTGCCAGACCACCACTGCTACTGTCGACTGCTGTTTATCCCCCATCCATGGCCTCTCCCCCTGCCGGGCCACCACTGCTCCCGTCGACTGCTCCTTATCCGCAATCCGTGGCCTCTCCCCCTGCTGGGCCCCCACTGCTACCGTCGACTGCTTTTTATCCACTATCTCTGGCCTCTCCCCCTGCCAGACCACCACTGCTACTGTCGACTGCTGTTTATCCCCCATCCATGGCCTCTCCCCCTGCCGGGCCACCACTGCTCCCGTCGACTGCTCCTTATCCGCAATCCGTGGCCTCTCCCCCTGCTGGGCCCCCACTGCTACCGTCGACTGCTTTTTATCCACTATCTCTGGCCTCTCCCCCTGCCAGACCACCACTGCTACTGTCGACTGCTGTTTATCCCCCATCCATGGCCTCTCCCCCTGCCGGGCCACCACTGCTCCCGTCGACTGCTCCTTATCCGCAATCCGTGGCCTCTCCCCCTGCTGGGCCCCCACTGCTACCGTCGACTGCTTTTTATCCACTATCTCTGGCCTCTCCCCCTGCCAGACCACCACTGCTACTGTCGACTGCTGTTTATCCCCCATCCATGGCCTCTCCCCCTGCCGGGCCACCACTGCTCCCGTCGACTGCTCCTTATCCGCAATCCGTGGCCTCTCCCCCTGCTGGGCCCCCACTGCTACCGTCGACTGCTTTTTATCCACTATCTCTGGCCTCTCCCCCTGCCAGACCATCACTGTCACTGGCAGCTGCTGCTTATCCACAATCTGTGGCCTCTACCCGTGCCGGGCCAGCACCACCGCAGCGGACTGCTGCTTTTCCACCATCTCTGGCCTCTACCACTGCTGGGCCAACACTGCCACCGTCGACTGCTGCTTGTCCACAATCCGTGGCCTATACCCCTGCCGGGCCAGCACCACTAACATCCGTGTCCAATTGTTGGTGATTTGTGTGTTCAACCGTATCTGGGTCTGTTGATGGCTGTCTTGGGCCGTGCATTTGCTTGGATCTGCTTGTTTGGTGAGGTGTATTTGTGAACTTGACGTAAGCCTAGTGCAAGTGTGGAGACTGATGTGTGCTTGTCCCCCGAGTGGGTTCAGCTGAGGATCCCCTATCTCCTAGCCATGCTGCCCCAGTCAGGCATCCCCTGTCTTAACCCTTGTACTCGTGGGAGGGGGCCCTTGACGCTTGTTTTGATGGACCCTCGCCTTGTGGATGTCACACCTGGCCTGGGTCCTCTTCTGGCCTCTGCCCACCCAGCTTTTCCTGATGAGTGACCAGAATGACTTAAAGCGGGAACCTTTACTTTTATAGATTTGAACGCGCGATTTCATAAACTTTTAACAGTCCATAGTCATTACTCAATGGTCTGCGCCGCCCCCCGCCCCCCCCACCACCAATTTTGTGAAATCCTGAAAACTGAAATCGATTTTAACTGTTGCAATTATTAAAAAAAAAAATAAAGATTGGATTCTGCCAAAGGGAAGCATAGTCCAACTAGCCCTGATCCAGACACTGCAGCTGCTCCCACCTCCTGCGGCAGCTTCTCCATGTCCTGGTCCCTAATGCCTGTTCCTGGTCAGTTGCTGGAGCGTGGCCACCAGAGCCCACAGCGGCGATGTTGGCGTGGCAGGGGTAGAGGTTGGAGGTGGTGAAGAAGCAGCTGTCCACGGTGTCCAGCAGGCCGGGCTGCTGAGCCTCCTGCTTGCTGCTGGTGTAGAGCTGGCTGGACTCATTGGCCTGGTGCTGCCGCATGATGAGGATGGCCTGCCTCATGTCTGGGGAGAGCAGAGAGAGCTCACGTTATGGGGCAGCTGGCGAGGGATGTGGGGGAGCAGAGCAGCAGCACATGGCTGGGTATGAGGGCCATGCCAGGGAGCGCATAGTCACAGAGCCGTGGGGCTGAAAGGGAGCTGAAAAGGTCACACTGGGCATCTTTACACGTGCTCCAGGGGCAGGAGGAGGCCTGTAAGTACAGGGTGTTGCAGCAGTGTCCCTGCACGTCTACAGGCAGCCATCTAGTCCAACCCCCGCCTGAGGCAGGATCAGCCCTGTCCAAACCACCCCAGACAAACCCATTGTGCAACCTCTGAGCAAAACTACACAATCACCCCTGACAACACCAGACATCACACCTGCCCCCGCCCCAGGGAAAGCAGGGGGACCGCAGCAGCCAGCATCCTGCTCCTGCAAATGTTGTCAGTAGGTGCTTATGAGACCCCAGGCAGAGGCCGTGGCCCGGCTATAAAGGAAGGCAAACCCTCTCCCCGCCTGTACCCATCTGAGCAGGGGGAGAATTCACAGGTGCTCCCTGCCTCCCAGCCAGGGCTTCGCCGGGGCTGTGTTGTCTGCCTGGGTTGGGCTCCTACCCACCTCCCCCAGTCAAAGGGCCGCAAGAGCCCAGAGTGGCTCTCAGCACAAGCTGTGTCCCCACTGCTGTGTTATCGGTTAATCATTTAACCGATATAATTAGAGGAGGTTAAACAGATTTTTTTTAAAACAATATTTACAAGTCTCACGGCTGGCTTTCTCTTCCAGCTTCACGTGCAGCTTTCATTCTGGGTGACTTGGTGGACAACCTCGCTTATGGGCTTTTTGACGTCTTGCAGGCACTTCAGCACCCTGGGGTCCGAGGAGTCTTCCAGAGGCTGCAGGCACGGGCAAGAAGGGAGACAGGACTCAGCACCAGTACATACACCACTCGGGCTGCATGCGACTGGTGGGCACAGACTGAGGTGCCATGGGAGGAGAGGGGACAGGGAATCGCCCAGGCCACGTGTCATCCTGGGCTGAGCACCGTGACTCGGGTGCTCGGTTCTGCCCTGATGCTGCATGCTCTAAAATGAGCCGTGCCTCAGCTTCCCCATCTGTGCAATGGGAAGACTGGTCTGCTTGGCAGGCTGCCCTGTGAATCCATTCTCCTCCTGCAAAGGGCAGACGATAACACGCACACACACACGTGCATCCACTCATCTCCCCTACTTTTCCTTCTGCTCTCCACCACTCCCTGCTCATTTGCCTCCTCTCTCTTTCCTTCCCATTTCTCGTGTACTGGGATGAGACAAGGGCAGCCCCTGCCCTCTGCACTGAGAAGTGGGGTCCTGCCACTACAACCCCCCATGGGGGCAGAGATGAGGTCCGAGGGCCATGGCGGCTCTGGTGTCTCCTGGCTTGTGAGTGCTTCCCTGGGACGAACGGGGAGGCATGGGCCTGAACTCTGCTCCCGGCGGGGTGCGGGTTCCCCAGAGACTCTGGGTTGCTAAGCCAGGCTCTCATGAAGCCCCGCTTTGCTGATACAGATAGAGTGGGGGGCACTACTACAGCCGTGCCGGGGTCGTGCCTCCCTCGGAGAGGGGCCGTGCAGGGCTGACCCCACCAACAAGGCACCGAGGAAGTGGAAAGATTAGTCTCACCTGCAGCGTCTTGTTCGTCTCGTTGATAGCCTGTTTGATCCGTGCCATCCGGATGGCTGCCCCGTTGTCCTGGTGCTGCGGAGAGAAGGGACGGTTAGAAATGTCCCCCCAGCAAAGGCTGAACTCAAATGCAGAGGTGGTTTCACACAAGCAATACGTCCCAGGGCAATGCGAAGATGGTCTCGTGGGAGAAACGCGGCCTACGGGTAACGTACGAGTCGGCTTTCGTAATTCTGATGGAGAATCCCAAGGTTTATTTTTAAATGCAATCCTTTCGATCGGCATTGATTGTGCAGCATTAGGCAGAGCATTTGGAAATGAGCCACGCATCAAAATACAACCAGTGACCCTCCACAAAGCAGTGCATCGCACCTGCTTGCAGGCATACTCATGTCCATTGGGCAGCACGTGCGCAAACAAAGCAAAAAACCCTACAGATCGGTTAAAACAAGAAATCTCAGGTCTTTTGCTATGGTGACGGGAACGCGTCATCATGCACTGCAAAGCGCGCGTACCTGGTCGACAGGATGCTTTGCCAGTTCCTCCATCGATAGCATTTCAAAATCTCCTGGTCTTCCTTGCCCAGCTTTTTCACCCGTTTCACTTCTAGGTCAGGGTATTCCCGGCGGTACTCTACTAATGATTTTTTCTTGCAACCCATGATTGAAGCGAGTCAAGAAATGAATGCTGTTTAGGGGTCCCTGTAATTCCTCCCTCTTCCCCTGGTTTGGTGGCCCCCTCCTCCTGGTCCCAGTCCCCTCGGGGTTTCTGGGAGTTGCAGTGCAAACTGCAGTCAGCGCCCCCCCCCCCCCCCCGGGGGGGGCGGGGTGCAACTCTGCAGAGGCCTGCCAGATGTGCTTCTGCACTACAAATCCCAGAGGCCTTTGTGAACAGGAAGAAGTAGTGATGAATACAGAGCTCCTATTGGCTGTGCTTCCAGATTACAAATCCCAGTAAATCCAGGCTACTATCCCAGAGGCCTCTGGGAGCAGGAAGACAAAAAAAAAAAGCAATGTGGAGCAACCTTGCAGAGCCCCATTGGCTGGGCTCCTGGACTACAAATCCCAGAGGCCTCTGAAAGCAAAAGAGAAAGTGAGGAGGGACTGTGTGCTGAATGAGTGTGTTAATAAACAGTCAGGACTCCTGGTAGAGATGATAACTTTTATTAGACAAAAAAGATTTTGCAAAAAAAACCATGTCTTTAATTGCAAGCTTTCAAGCACAAACACCCTTCATCAGGCTTTGGAGAAAAGATAGTAAAAGTTTTCCTTTCACTTCTATCCAGGAGACCTTTTACACTCTTTTCTCCAATGCCCGATGAAGGGTTTCTGTGCCCCAAACAAAACTTTTACAATTTTTTCTGCAATGCCCAATGAAGGGTGTTTGTGCCCAAAAGCTTGCAATTAAAGAAATGTTTTGTTTTGGGGTTTTTTTTGCAAAAATCTTGCTGGTCTAATAAAAGATATTACCTCTACCACGAGTCCTGATTGCCTTTTCCTCTAGACCAACATGGCGACAACTTGGATACCTGTTAATAAACAAAGCTCATGGGTCAGATGCGGTATCTCTTTTCTGAGACCAAGCAGATAGTAGCACAAAAATGTCTTTCTTTGCAAGGTTTCAGGTGCGAACACCGTCCTTCGGCCTGAGCAGAATTCAAAGTTTGGAAAAGTTCTGGGTAGAAAAGAAACTTTATTGTGCAGACGGGAGGTGGACGTTTATTCCCCGGGGTTGTTCAGAGTCCTTTTGCGAGAGAGTTTCTCTGGGATGTGCAGATCAGGCAGGCTTCTTCCCTGGAGGTGCCCGATGTCCATCAGGGGGTGAACATTTCTCCTGTCTCGGTTAGCAATGACATTTACATTTCCAAACAGCTAAATATGATATCTACTGTGTTTCAGGGATGCATGCTATAACCGTGTTGGTCTAACAAATAGAGATAAATGAAGCTCTTCGGTCAAAGGTGATATCTTTTATTAGACCAGTGACCATTACCTGTTTCTCGTGCTTTAAGTGCATGTCGTGGGTGTTGGTTGTAGCCGTGTTGGTCGAAGGACACAGGCAGACAAGGTTCTTTGGGTAAATCTGATATCTTTTATCAGACCGACTAAATAGTTGGCAAATTTATCCCTTGCAAGCTTTCGGGCACAAAAACGTTTCTTCAGGCATACTGTGCCCAAAAGCTTGCAAAGAACTTTTTTTCCAGCTACTCAGTTGGTCTAAGAAAAGGTTTCGCATGTACCCAGGGAAGCTTGCCTGTCTTCAGGCATATTACGTTATACTGGGAATGTCTGTTTAAATGTATTTGCACCTCTACTTTGGTCCCGTTGCCTTGTGACCCTGATCCCGAGCACTTTCTATAGAAAAGTAAGAAAACCCCTTTTGGCCGTGATGCTTGTGCCTCACTAGGGTGGGGTTTGGTGCAACTGGTGGTAGCGGTGGGATAGGCGGTCACAGCACCGGGCATCACACCCGACTTGGCCACAGGGAAAGCAGGGGGACCGCTGCAGCCAACGTCCGTAATGGTCTGTCCAGGGGGTAATGTTCCTTCCAGGAGCACAGGCACAGTCCAGTCCCCAGCTTAAACTGGTTGGTTTTGAGGCTGGTATCAGATGAACACCAAGGGCCTTCCAGCTGGAGACGGCCCAGGGTGAGGGCCAGATGCTACCAAGGGGCTGCTGCTACTTCCCTCGTGCAGGGGAGGTTGGGAAGGAGTGAAGTCCTGGGTGCGAGGTTGTGCTCTTGTAGAGGTCAGCGCCTCCCAGCAGGGCAGCAGCCGGACACTACGGAGGATTAGCGCCTGCAGCTAGAAGCTGGTCTCCTCCCTTTGGGGGCAAGTGACAAGGAAGGAGCTGAAGAGCAGAGCATGTTCGCTGCACCCTGCCCCAGGCCCCCAGCTGCTCTATTTCAGCCCACCAGGCTGGGTCCAGAGGGACCGGGCACCTACAACTCATGGGCAGACTGGCACGGCAGGCACCCAACTCCTCTGGGAAGCCAAACCTCCACCTCCACCTCCACCTGCCTTGCTCCCCCTCCACCCAGTCTGGACTGAAGGGTGCCTCGGGTGTGCAGAGCAGCCCAGGGTGCATCACAACCCCTTCACCCAACACCAGAGGGGAGGGAGACCCAGCCGCCACGTACCCTCCACGCCGACAGCCCTGCAGCAGGTGCACGTCGTGCTTGTAGATGAACTTCTCCTCCAGCACCATCTGGATGGCAACGATTACCTGTGTCGTGATGATGGTCACCTGGAAGGGCTCAGAGGCTGCTGAAGACCCATGCCACGGGTCCCTCTGCCTGAAAATTACACCACAGCCTGTCGGCAAATTGTTGCAACCGCGCCAGCTCACAAGCGCTGCTTCTGCACTGGAGGGGGGCTGGCAGCGGAGCCGTGGGGCATCACCCATACGTCTACCTTCAGCCTCTGGTGCTAAATCAGCCCCAGGCTGCATCACCCCTTGCAAGATGCTGACCTGGGGCAACAGGGTGCTAAGCAGCGTGAGGCTGGGGTAGGCACATGGATGGGAGACAGTGCAGGGGCTTTTCCTTTGGGAGAAGAGGCCTGTAGTTGCAAAGGAGGTGCGGTGGCAATTGAAAGGCAGCCCCAGAAGATCAAATGCAAGGAGGACATCCCTAACCAGCAACAGCCGATCAGCAAACTCTCCTCTTCTGGCCTCTGCCCGCCCGCTCTGGCCTCTTCTGGCCTCTGCCTGCCCGCTCTTTCCCGATGAGTAACCAGAATGATTTAAAGCAGGCACGTTTTACTGATGTAGGGACCCCTACTTTTATAGACTTGAATGAGTGATTTCATATAGTTTTTAACAGTCCGCTGTTGAAGCGATAAAAGAAATTGAGATTGGATTCAGCCAAGGGGAAGCATAGTCCAGCCAGTCCTGCTTCCTGTGGCAGCTCCTCCGTGCCCTGCTCCCTAGGGTCTGCTCCCGGTCAGTCGCTGAAGCGTGGCCACCACAGAGTCCATGGCGTTGGTGTTGGTGTAGCAGGGGTAGAGGCCCGAGACGGTGGAGAAGCAACAGTCCACGGTGTCCAGCAGGCCGGGGTGCTGAGCCTCCCGCTTGCTGCTGGCATAGAGCTGGCTGGACTCACTGGGCCGGTGGTGCAGCACGATGAGGATGGCCTGCCTCGTGTCTGGGGGGAGCAGAGAGAGCTCACGTTATGGGGCAGCTGGCGAGGGAGGTGGGAGAGCGGGGCAGCAGCACGCGGCTGGGTATGGGAGCCGTGCCAGGGAGCGCATAGTCACAGAGCCGTGGGGCTAGAAGGGAGCTGCAAAGGTCCCATCTGGTCCAGGATCAGCCCTGTGCAAATCATCCCAGGCAAACCCACTGTCCGATCTCCGGGCAAAACTACAGTCACCCCTGACATAGCACTAGGAATCACACCCAACCCTGCCACAGGGAAAGCAGGGGGACCGCCATGGCCAACATCCTGCTGCTGCAAAAGTTGTTAATATATAAGCTTAAGAGATCGCAGGCAGAGGCTGTGCCCCTGCTGCAAAGGAAGGCAATCTCGCCACCCGCTCCGAGTCCAAACCAATCTGACCAGAGGGGAAAATTTCTTTCTGACCCCAAATGTGGCATCAGTTTGACCCTGAGTGAAGGGGCAACACCCTGTAGCCGGGACCCTCGGGTTCATCCTAGCATGAGCACTGCCACAGCTTGGTCCCTATCCCCAGCTGGGGCTGTAGCCAGCACCTATGGGTGACTAGAGATGAACAATCCTGTATGCCCCCATTCAGGGTCAGACCAATGCTGCATTGGGGGTCAGGAAGGGATTTCCCCCCTGGTCACACTGGTACGGACTGGGGGGTTTGCCTTCCTCTGTAGTGGGGGCATGATCTCTGCCGGGGATCTCTGGAGCATCTATTAACAGCCTTGGTAGCAGCTTGACATCGTCCACTGCGGTCCCCCTGCTCTCCCTGGGGCAGGGTCGGGTGCGATGCCTGGTGCTGGGTCAGGGGTGACAGTAGTTTTTCTCGCAGGCTGGACAATGGGTTTGTCTGGACTGGTTGATCCCGCCCCAGGCAGGGGTTGGACTGGATGTGACCTCGGGAGCTCCCTGGCAGCCCCACGGCTTGATAAGAAGGGCAGAGCTAGGTGCCCCCATCCCAGGCCATTACGGGGGGGACCCACCACTCACCTGGGAGGCTCTGCAGGGCGTTGCTGATGTCGGTGCCCACACGGGACGAGATGGGGCAGAAGAGCAGCAGTAGGCAGTGGGAGCGCTGGTTGAACTCCTCCTCCACCAGCTGGATACCCAGGGGCTTGAGGTGCTCACGCAGCTGGGCCAGGAACTGCCTCTCGGAGCCGCTTGCCCGGCCGGTGACGTGGATCTGCAGGGGCAACACTGCCCGGGGAGCGAGGCGGTCACTGTCCTGCTGTGCAGCGGAGAAGCTGCCCAGACCCCTTGTGACCCAGGGCTCTGCTCCCCGCCCCCCGCAACCAGTGGCGGCCAGCATGGAGATAACAGCCCTACTACTGCTGCAAGGAACGGAGCGTCCCCGTGTCCAAGCGGGCTTCTAGCACCGACGACATCCCTGCCCCACATTCTCAGGCTCTTCCCCATCGTGGGAGCTGGGTCCCAAGTCTGCTGGAGCCAAGCGGTCCGTCTTGCCCCAGCAGGATAGGAGCTTGGTCCCATGGGACAGCAGCAAGTTTGGCCATCACCCCTGGCAGCCCTGTGCCTACCTCTGAGCCGCGGGCTGGGGGAGAGGGGTGCTGGGGACTGCTTCGCGGGGAGGGGTGCTGGCAGGCTGGCTTTTTCCTCCAGCTTCTGCCGCAGGCTCTGATTCTCCGTGAGCAGGCGGATGGCGATGCTCATGGACGCTTCGAAGGCACGGAGGAACTCCAGTGCCAACGGGTCCGAGGAGTCTTTCAGCTGCTGCAGGGACAGGCAAGAGGGGAGACAGGACTCAGCATCGCCTGGGCGCCCAGCACCGCCCCACTTGGGCTTCACATGACCAATGGACGCAGACCGAGGCGGCGGGGGAGGACAGGGGCAGGAAATAGCCTAGGACACGCAGTGCATCTGCCTGCGCCGAGCACCATGACTCCGGGGCGCTTGGTTCTGCCCTGACTCTGCATGCTTTAAAGCCAGCCATGCCTCAGTTTCCCCATCCGTGCAATGGGGAGCTTCTTGCCAGGCTGCCCTGTGAATCCATTCCCCCTTGTAAAGGGCGAGGATAACAGGTGCACACATGGATGCATGTGTGCACACACATGCACACACTCAGGTCACCTTCTTTTCCTCCTGCCCTCTGAACCATGCCCCCAGCACAGCTCTGCTCCCACCACATCTGCCTCCTCTCTCTCCCCTTCCCATCCTTCCCGTGCTGGGCTAGACCCTTCCCCCCAGCAGCCCCTGCCTTGTAGAACAACCCCTCTGCCGGTACGACCCGCCACGGGGCAGAGCTAAGGGTCCAAGGGCCACGGCTCTGGTTTCCAGTGCTTCCCCAGGCTTTGAGTGCTTAAATCTCCTAGCTCTGAGTGCTTTCCCAGGACGAAGCAGGGATGCCTCAGCAGAAAGTCGCAGGCCTGAACTCTGCTCCTGATGGGTGCAGGTTCCCCAAAGACCCTGGGGCCGAGCACGGTTCACATGACACCCCTGCTTTGCTGATACAGACGGACTGTGGGGCACCGCTACAGCCATGCCAGGGTCATGCCTTCCTCGGGGAGCCCCGCGGGCAGCCCGAGGGACTGCGCAGGGCTCACCCCGCCGACTCGGCCCCGAAGTCGTGGCAGCATTAGTCTCACCTGCAGCTGCTCTTGCAGCTTGTTGGCTTTCTGTACGATCTCCTGTGCCACTGTCATAGGGCGGTCACCAGCCACTGCCCTGTCCTGGTGCCGCTGTGGGGAGAAGGGAGGTTGGGAATGCAGAAAAGACTGAACTTAAATGCAGAGGTGGTTTCATACAAGCAATACGGCCTAGGGCCATGCAAAGATGGTCTCATAGGAGAAATACGGCCTTGCAGAGAGGGTCATGAATGAGTCGGCTTGGCAGAATTCAGTGTATATTTTCTAATTATTTCGACAGTTAATATTGATATTTACTTTTAAGCATTTCTTTCCATTTGTATCAGTTAACATTTCCAGGATTGCATGAGATTAGGGGTGTGTGGGGCAGAGCATTTAGGAATGACCGCCGGCTGCTGAAAGTTTTATACATAGATCAAGTCACTATCCATAGAGCAGTAAACTGCCCCTGCTTTCAATCCTGCTGTTCATCTGTATCTCATTCGTAAAGAAAGTGAAAAATTTAAAGATCAATTAAATGCAGGGGGTTGGACTAGGTGCGACCCCCTAGGGTCCTTTCAACTCTTGTTTCCTATGAGTCTATGATTTTCCGTATGCCCCTTTTCTATAGATTTCAGTTATGAAGGATGGAAATATTTTTTGTTGGTCCGTGAGAGTCGGGTGAACTGGATGTTTATTAATGTTTGCGGATAAAAATCAAATCCTGCCAAGCCTGCATATGAGCAACGTGTCCCGGGCAATGCAGAGACGGTGTCATACAAACTATACAGCCCCGGGCACACACAGAGACGGTCTCATATGACGGTCTCATAAGACCCCTTCTTGGGCACGCTGGGCCAGGACGGCGGCCACCGTGCCTGGTGAGGGCGAGGAGGCCAGCCTGCCGAGCACCTCCAGGACAGGATGAGGCGGGTCCTACCCTGTCTGGGACACGGCTGGCTTGGGGGCAAGGCTGTGCCTCAGTTTCCCTGCCTGTCAGGCAGCAAATGGCAGGATGTGTCTGGAGGAGGGAGTGTACCAATGTGTGTGTGTGTGTGTGTGTGTGTGTGCCCCCACCCCGACAACCCCCCAGCCCCGGGGGCCAGGCTCACCTGCGGTGCTGCTGCCTTCTTCTGCCCATCTTTGCCTCCGAGAAGCCATGACAGTGAGAAGATCCCGGAGCCCCAGCTCTGCCCAGCACTCGGCGCCCGCTCCGCCATGCAGCTGGGACCCCCCGGATTGGGGCCACGGGTCACTGCAGCATCGGGACCCCCGAGCCCCCCTGCATCGGGACCCCTGAGCTCCTCCAGATTGCAACCCCTGAGCCCCCCTGCATCGGGACCCCTGAGCTCCTCCAGATTGCAACCCCTGAGCCCCCCTGCATCGGGACCCCTGAGCTCCTCCAGATTGCAACCCCTGAGCCCCTCCGGATCGGGACACCTGAGCCCCTCCGGATTGCAACCCCTGAGCCCCCCTGCATCGGGACCCCTGAGCTCCTCCAGATTGCAACCCCTGAGCCCCTCCGGATTACAAACCCCCTCCGGATCGGGACCCCTGAGCCCCTCCGGATTGCAACCTCTGAGCCGCTCCGGATTACAAAGCCCCTCCGGATCGGGACCCCTGAGCCCCTCCAGATTGCAACCCCTGAGCCCCTCCGGATCGGGGCCGTGGGGCCCCGCGCGGCGCTGGGCCATGGCCCGGGGAAAGGAAAGTGAAAGGCAGAGGGCGGCGGCTGCAGGCGGAGGCGGCGGGAGACGCGCATCCCCGGGGCGGGCCCGGCTCTCGTCTGGCCGGAGCCCCGAGGAGGCTCCGTGCGGGCTGGTTTGCGCGGGGCCGATGCTGCCTCGGGCTCCGGGCCGGCTGCGCACGGGGGTGAAGTCTGCACCTCCCTGGAGGAGGGCAGAAAAGCAACCCCCCAACCCCTGTACCAACCTCACCAGGGGCAAGACCCACTCTTGGCACAGCCCCCAGCCTGGGCTGCAGCCGGCACCTCTGGGGAGGCTCAAAACCTGCTGAGAAACGGAGCAAGAAGGAGGGGAGGGGGCGACCAGCACAGCCCAGAAGCCGGGGCAGGCGAGGATGGGCTGCTGCTGCTTCTCCCATGTCAGGAAGGGCAGGGGCGTGCACCCGAGCACAGCACAGGTTTGAATCAGCGGAGAAGGCGGTGGAGACCCCGACTGGGCGGCAGGGATCTCTGCCCCTCCATCGCTTCGACGCGGGGCTGGAGCGGGGTGTGAAGGAGCAGCCAGGCGGGCCGCTCTGACCAGACCAGGTAAGACGCAAGATGTTGGGTGGGAGAGGAGAGCCAGCCCCTCTCCATGCAATGCCCCGCACGGTGCATCATCGGTGTCACTTTATTGGTTACAAAACTCAGATTGAAAAAAAGGCAACGGGCCAAAATCATGCCCTCACTGCTTCCCCTTTCCCCCCCAGGCTGGTATGACACCCCCACGGGAAGGACATCTCTCTTTTCTTAAGAGACCACCAGCTCAGGATGGGCAGCAGCCAGCCCGTGAAACCCTGGTACGGGAAGAGGAGAAGAGAGGGGATCTCCACAGGGTCTCAGGAGCCACGAGGGGAAGCTGCAATGCTTCATCCGCAAGAAACCCACCACCACAGGCCAGTGCGGTGCCAAGCAGGGATGCCACTGACAACCACCACGCACAGGTCCCTGATACCAGGGGGGAGCTGCCGATGCAGCCTGGACACTGCTGGGAGCGTCTGTGCCTCCTGGTAGCTCACCCAGAACAGGGAGCCCTGCTTGGTTTTGCCACAGCGCATGCCACCCGGGAGCTCTCACGCCTGCAGGGTCCCATGGGGCCTCCACGGGACAGGCTGGCATTGCCCGGGACATAAGCCCAGTGGCTAACCCCCTACAGGAGCCATGACTGCAGCGAGGGATGAAGTCTTGGGTGCGAGGACGTGCTAGAGCCGTGCACCCCGCACCACGGGGCAGAGACCCCCCACCCGAGCACCTTCCTGCTGTCTACAGTCACGGTGCACGTGATGCCGAAAACCAAGTTGGAGGCGGGGGGGTACAAATAACCCAGTGGCCTTGATGATCAAGTCAGTGGTGTCCGGAAGAACCCGAGCTCCCAGGGGGCTGATCTGATGGAGCAAGAACAAGGGATGGGGCAGAGGGAGACAGTGTCCATCCCTGACGTGCTAGAGCCCCACAGTCCCTACAGCCGGATGTTGGTCTCAGCTGTCCGCATTGATGGGCATCCTCTCTCCATGCAGCAGGCTCTCCTGCTCCCCTGGGGTGCCCGCAGGCGGGCGCCGGGCTAGCCTAGCCAGCAGCGGCTGGTGCAAGCCGTTGTAGAGGGCAGCACCGGCGAGCAGGATGAGGAAGCCCAGGATCTGCAGGGCGTGGAAGACCTCCCAGCCCACGGCCAGGCTGACGGCCCAGATGACCACGGTGCGCAGGCTGTCCAGCACCATGCGCGTGGTGGCGCTGATCTCCTTGGTGACGCTGATGCCGGCGAAGTTGAAGAAGGCGATGCTGCTGATGTTGCCCAGCAAAGCCAGGGCGATGAGGGGCTGGCGTCCCACCTGGCAGAAGGCATCCAGGGCATCCTCCAGCACGTGCCGCGGGTTGCCACCGAAGCTGCCCGCCGGGATGAAGTACATCGGGATCAGCAGCAGCGTCAGGATAACGAAGCCAAAAAGCCCTGGGAGAGAGCAGGGTGTCAGCAGCTGCTCGGTTCAAAACAGGCTCCACGCACGAGAGCCCGGTCCAGAGCCTGTCGCTCTCACCGACCCCATAGAGACTCCCGTGAAGTACTGGGTGCGAGGATGTGCTCTGGGGAAGCCAGAGGGGCCGGGCACCTCCAACTCGTGGGCAGACTGGCACGGCAGGCACCCAACTCCTCCTCCACCCGCCTTGCTCCCCTCCCACCCAGTCTGGACTGAAGGGTGCCTCAGGTGTGCAGAGCTGCCCAGGGTGCATCACAACCCCCTTCACCCAACACCAGCGGCGGGGGGGACGCAGCCATCACGTACCCTCCGTGCCGACAGCCCGCAGCGGGTGCACGTCGTGCTTGTAGACGAACTTCTCCTCCAGCACCATCTGGATGGCGACGATCACCTGGGCCATGATGATGAGCAGGTCACCTGGGAGAGGGTCAGAGGATGCTCAGAGATCCGTGCTGCAGGTCTCCCTGCCCGGAAATTACACCATAGCCTGTCGCACACTGCTGCAGCCGTGCCAGCTTGCAGGTGCTGCCTCTGCACTGGAAGCAAAGCCGGGGGGTGTCACCTGGGGGTCTACCCTCCACCGCTGGCACTCAATCAGCCACAGGCTGCACCACCCCTTGCAAGATGCTGACCCGGGGCAGTGCTAAGCAGGCTCAGCCTGGGGTAAGCACGTGGATGGGGTTTTTCCTTCAGGAGAAGGGGCCCATCCTTGCAAAAGTGGTGCTGTGGCAGCTGGAAGGGCTCATTGCCCTCCCGAGGCAGCCCCGAAAGATCGCACTGCCTCTCCCAAGCAAAGGGAAAGCATCGCTGGTCAACACCAGCCCCGTTCTCTGCTTCCCAACCTTCACAGGAGACCCCTGCCCCATCTCCGCCAGCCCCTACCGACCTGTGATGACCTCGCTGAGGTTGTGTTTCTCATCCTGGTTGTTGAGCAGGTCCGCCAGCCCCACCACCACCAGCCCCGCGATGGTCACCGCGATGCCCAGCCACTGGCTCAGCACCAGCTTGCGGCCCAGGAAGGCCACGGAGAGCAGCCCGGTGAAGATGATGACGGCCCCCCGCAGCATCTGGAAGCTGGAGGCGCTCGTCATGTTCAGAGCTGGAGTGGGAAAGACGCAGAGACTAGTGAGCGGGCATTGTCCCGGGCACCGGCCCCTGCTATCACAGCCCGGTTTCCAGCTCGGAGGGTGTCTGAGCCTGCAGCACCCCGGGGCCGTGCTACGTTACAAGCCTGCACAGGCAAGGGCTCATCCCCTGCACCGCAACCGTAGCAGCACCTGGGGAACGGCTCAGGGGAGGAGACTGGGCAAGATAGACCTAGGATCTGACCCAGGACCTGGCAGTTCTTATGTTTTACCTACATTTTGTATTTTTGGCACAAGGGAAATATGAAAAGGATCCTCCTCCCTTTGGACAGGCCTTGATTTCCCAGTCATCAACTGCTTTTCTACTGCTCATTGCATGTCTGCTGCCCCCGGGGGACCTCTCTCCCACTTCCCCTCTGCTGGTTTCCACTATGCTGCTCCAGACAGCTGAGGAAGGAGGCTTTGCATTCAAAAGCTTGTCTAACTCCATGCCAACTACAGAGCTGATCCCATAAGAAACTGCCTTAAGGAATCCCATCCTCCAAAAAACACCCACTCCATGCAGTATATGCGGGAGCTTGAGAGCATCCATCCAGGCCAGCTGCAGCAGCAGGACCTCTCACCAGAGACGCAGCCCCATGGCCCAGCCACCCCACATGGCTGCAGGGGCTGGAGGTGGCAGGTGCCTAGCAAATACGTTAGAGACCCTCCTGTGTGGAAGACATTGCCCTTAGTGAGGCCTTTGGAGGATGTTCCCGCCCTCGGCTTTGTCATATTGAATGAAATAGTTTGAATGTTTGTAAAGGTTGCCCATTAGCCAGTTTCAGGAAGAAGATAGGATCTATCTCCTTATCTAGCTCATTGTTTTGGAGCTACGTGCGAAATGTCCTGACTTCGCCTAAAACCTTAATCTAAATTGTACCTTTAGAAGTTTTTTACAAAGAAAGTAAATGTCCTAAATTCCGAGAAATCAAAGCCTGGGGCCTTTTAACCAGACTGGTAAAAAGAAAAGAGTATTTACAGTGATATGGAAGTCTCCCCAAGAATAATTTAAAAATGCTCAACAAAGGTAATTTCTGTTGAGTAAGATCCGAGCCCAAATTTGGGAGTTATAATGAATTGAGTAGGAGGAGCCCGATGACGGCAGCTCACTCAATAAAAACCTGTAACTTACTGTCCCAATTTGGAGGTGACTTCACTTGCAGAACAACGAAGGAAGAATCGCAAGTGTAAGTTCAGATTAGATTGATCGCCTAATCAAGCCTCTCCGTGAACACGAATCTCTTAGTTCACGCTGAAGCCGCGGAGCGCCCGAAAGGGACTGAAGGAAGGGGACATAGTCCTATCACTGGTGAGCCCAGCTCATTGAATCGTATTGCTGAGGCCAGCCTATTGAACCGTACTACTGAGGCCAACCCATTAAATCGTACTACTGAGGAATGAAACCATATTTTGGTATTTGGCTTCTCGGAATTCTAGGATTGTAAGTATATTATGAAAAATAACAGTATTGATTCAAATTTAACTTTTAGTTGTAATTGTAGTTGTTTTTGTAACACTAATTCTTATAGCATTGTTTGGGAAGGAAGTGCATTTGGAGCATTGTTTCTGATATATGTAATTATTGTGTTTTTAATGTTTGTGGTGTTTCTTAAAGCTAAGCAGTGTTATATACGTAGCAAAGAGTTTTAAAATAAAATTGTGTTGTATAAATTAAGTGTGTAATCATTGTGAAATCGTGCAATCAGCTAACTACTCCCCCAGCCAGTGCATCAAAACGAATCAGTAAATCGTGTGGGATTTTCTCTATTCCATAACCCACTAGAGACAGGCTTCTGCTACGGGAGGTTTTGTTGGGAGGTTTTAGTGGGATGTCCCGAAGTGGAGACCCCCCCCGGACGCCTCTCACTGGGTGGGTCAGAGCCACATGAGTCC